GTGGCACGATGCTGGGACTTACGACGCGAGGACGAAGACCGCCGGTCCGAACGGCTCGATTCGGAACAAGGAAGAGTACTCCCACGGCGCCAATGCTGGCTTGAAGATCGCTCTTGATTTCTGTGGTGAGCGCTCCCTGCTCTTTCTGAGCTACCTGCCTTTAGGTTTCTCTGCCTTCGCGGTGTTGATTCCTTTGGCGGAGCGGTGTCTACGCCTCTTCGGCATCCGTGCCTGAAGTAGTTTCTGGAGTTCATCTATTCATGCATCGACGGCAGTTTGGAGGACGAGCATGCAATTGTAGGTTGTGATTGTGCGAGTCCCGTTGCATGCTTGTTTGATACTAAATATATGTAGGTGCGTGGAGATTTGAGAGTCCAATTTCCATGGACGTATGTCTTCTAATACTTCAATTATAGCTTTCCTTCATTTGCTGCTGTTGGAGGAGTTGCTTTTGCTTATGTTTTGTGTCATTTGATGAGTAATGGTTGACTTAATCATCTTACGATGTTTAGTGCACTCGTGCGGGGCGCGCCGTCTGTTATGTTGAAGACAGTTAACAAGTTTGTTAACATGATGCTATGTACTTACAAGTTCTTGAAGGGCCAAGCAGTGCGTTTGCAATTTTAGTTGGCTTAACGTTATACTCTGGACTTATCAACGGGATTTAATCTGCGGACTCTGATTTACTTTTGTTACTTGCCTGTGGCATAGTGTTAGGTTCATCTAACCAAATTTAGATATATTTCCAATATTCATCAGTATAGAATGCATGAAGATAGTTGTTGCTTTAGACATTGATACTTTCTTTAAAGAAATCCCTACAGTCTTCATAAAGTTGAGGTATATGTATTATCTTATGTTCAGTTTATGAGAGCATGCTCAAGATGGGTGGTTTAGTATTCAGTCTAATGCTTCCATGATTCTCGACCAAGGAAATTCTAAGACCTTTGCATATGTTTTACATGAGTTACCCTGTAGATATGTTATGATTATAAGAGTTTCAACTATACAACTGTACGAACCCATCATGGATAATGTCATAGCTTTGATGAATAGAGTTTTTTTGTGAATGGAGTTGAGATATAACTTCAGTCAGTATATTTACATTTGCTTTTCTGTTGGATACAGAGGAGGTGAAGTCCAAGTGTCCAAAGATTACATACGCAGATCTATACCAGGTGAAAAGACTGTTTAAAGGATTTGTTCTTCCATCTTACATATTACGAGTCGCCTCCCCCAATAGGTGGACGAAATCTTTGTTGATATGACTAGCTTAGTTTGAAAAAGACTTCAAATTCTTGCTATTTAACTTTGAAGTTTTATTCCCTCCAGCATGCAACATCTTTAAAACTAATGTGCATGCACGTATGGAAGCCCTTAATTGGCATAACCCACATATTCTCTATATTCAGATGCTTTAAGAGCAAATCTTTATCTATATTGTTTTCAATCCCCTGGGCATTTAGTTCTCAGTTGCTTGTAGGAAATCTCCTCTGTCTAGTTCAACTGGTACTGTTCTTGGTTGATTAGTGGTTGGATGATGTTATATATAGCTGATCGATTCTAGTGGTTACTATTAAAAATGATTTATCAATTTGCAAGTATTGATCATTATGAGCGAAATGCCTGTTTCAGCTAGCAGGAGTTGTTGCAGTAGAAGTCACTGGAGGTCCCACTGTCGACTTTGTTCCCGGAAGTAAGGTACTCTGTTTTAGCTGTATGTGAGCAAGATAATTCTTATGAGTGCCTTATTCATTAAGTTTTTTTCTACCTTTAGGATTCAAAAGTTTCTCCAAACGAAGGAAGACTTCCAGATGCTAATCAAGGTATTTTGTTGTGTCAACTTTCCCTTTGTTGTCTGGCCTCCCTTCATTTCCCTCCATCCCTCCCTCCAAATATTATGGGCCACTATGCTTCTTATTGCTCCAGGCAAAACGTTAAATAGCTATTTATTGTTTTCCTTAAGGTTGCTGCCTATTAATCTTGAAATGTATGTCCATCTCATCTGAATGTCAATTAGTAAGTTTCCGGGGGAATGATTTGAATGAGATAAGAAGCACAGTATATATGCTTCTCTTGTTGAGCACTTTCTTGTGGGTGGGTTTGGGATGTGATTATGTGGAAATGGTGATCTTTCATTTTGATTAACTAAAACTGAAAAAAAAAAAAAAAAAAAAGAACCTGTTAGAACCTGGAACCGACCCTGGAACCTGTATAGGTTCCAGGTTCCACGTTTTGACGGGTAGGTTCTAGGTTCCAAAAAATGAGGAACCTGTACCCGAGGGTAGGTTCCAGGTTCTAGGTGGAACCTGTAAGGAACCTGGAACCGCTCACCCCTAAGGGAGAGGCCACGATACTAAGAGAATACACGGCCACATAGAATAAAGAAAAAATATCGTAGACTTTTCTTTTGGGTCTGACCACATACGCAATACAGAGAATAGAAAGAGAGGAGAGTGGCTTTGTTTCGCTCGAACGCACGATTGCACCACCATCGTGCAAAACCAGAAGATGGCAAATTCCATATTGATCCTGTTACGTCTCATATCGAAGTTCCTCCTGCCATTGACGCGCTGCCTTGCTCTGTCCAGTTTCAATGACGCCTCCTGATCTTGCTCTTGTTTCCCGGAGAACATCCAGCAAGTCGTCGGCCAACTCTCCGACGAACTCTGCTTTTTGACGACATTGTTGTTCCTCGCTGTCACGTTCCAGTTGAGTCGTCACACGGAGACAACGCGGTCCACACAGCAGAGCGGTGGAGGTAAAGAGAAGCACGTAGAGTAATACATGGCCGAATATGAAATTCTCGGTTGAGGAGACTCTCTTGGCTATTGACCACGGCTCGCAAGAGAAGGGTTTGGGTCTTTGTTTTTATTTTATTTTCTTCTCACTGAAAACATACAGGTTGAGTTTCATTGTTTGTTCTTTGAGAATTTCGGCTAGATAGTCAAATACAACTCCGGGAGGGACTCGCACTTCAACACACGTGTGCATTGGTTGCACTTTGTTTGATTGGCATCCTCATTGGCTGCCATAGACATCCCCTACCAAGTTCCACGCTAGCGTTCCTTCGAGATCGCTAGCCGCGAGCTCCCTCACCGATTCCACACCGTGAGCTAGCCACTGAGACTAAGTTTCAACGGTCCTCCGGGCCTCATCTGCAAGTTGTGATTCAGTCCGATTCCGATAAGATTACGCGCGTCCAAATTAGATAACGATTTTATCCGATTTGATATAAATTGTTTAATTGCTCAATTCGGATAAATTTTGTTATCTAATTAATTTGATTGAGATATTAGGCATTATATAATTAGGGTGTTATCGATATGAGTTTATTTAATTACTAATTTGATTGGTAAAGATATTGGATCATTTTTTTAATTATTTCAACTTAATATTGGATAATTGTTGTGCCTAAAGATTGCAATAATCTCTAATTTAAACCCTGAGACGATAGGTTATTTTTTAGATTATCGTAATCTTTAATTTGAAATCTTCGTGGATCACATGTGTGGATTAGGTAAGTCTTTATCTTTGGTTTGGATAACTTGCTTGTCTTAAAAAATACAAAAAGATTCCTTGCTAGGCTTAATAAGATTGTTAGATAATATTGCTTATTTAAATAGTATTAGGGTAAATTCTAGAATAGATTAGAATAGGTTTTAAATGTGATTTTCCTTAGTGGATGGGATTTTAGATAATGCTTGCATGTTTAAAATAGTTTTCTTAGACGGGATAGGATTTGGTTCGAATTAATCCCTAACTAGATTAGATAACTATTTTTTTAGACAGCTCAATTAGGGTATTTATTAATTTCGAATTTTAATAAAAATACCAAAAATATCATATGCATGTCATATAGTTTGCATGTTAGGAAATCGCATGCCATGTAGATTAGACTTCATTTCAAGATAAAAGAAAACCCCAAAAATATTTGATTGTTTTGGTGTGACCGATTTCTTTACTTTCTTGCAATTTGCTTGCTTTTGTTATTTGAGTGTTAATTGCATTAATTGCGCACCCGTATGATCATCACTTGCATGTTAGTGGATAAGTTAAAATCAATTCAAACTGCCTGCAAAATATTTTTGAAAAATAAAAGAAAAAATGTACCGAAAGGACATTAAAGTAATCTAATATAACCAAGTCTCCGAATCTATAATCTCTTGTTCGTAGAAATAAAGTAGAACTCCCGATACTTTACTTGGATTTCTAATCGACTTACCAAAAATAGATTAGTGACAACTCCTAATTGAAATGATCTTGCATGTTAAAAACTCGAATCTTAATACAAGAATTGATATGGGCTTGGGAGAGCCCGAGTTAAGCCTACCCATAGGTGGTGCACCCGAGAGTAGGTCGTGACAACTGGCAACTCATCACAAGGTTTAAAACTGAATTTAGCAAATTGTCAAAAGATTTAGTACTAAATTGACACAATCGAAAGGTTTAGAACTGAATTGGCCACCGTCCAATGTATTTAGGACTTTTTGGACAATTTTCCCACTTTATGTCCTAGGTGAGAAAGTCCATTCTTTTCATTTTTGTGGACAATGTAGGTTCTTAAATAAAAGAGTCTTTTGAGCCAAAATTTCCTTCCCTTAATCTGAAATTTGAAATCATAAGTATCACTTTTTTTTATATGGAAAACCAAAATTTTTTGCTTTCAAAATAATATACGTTGGATTTGGCAAAAGATCTGCAGAACAGAATCTTCAGAGCAATTCTAGCAGAAAGGGCCTCAAAGGAGATACTGAAGAAGTACAATTGTCTCGTACACGTAAGTCGAAGTCGAATGTGCTAAATGCGAGTGACGGGCAACTTTTTTTTTTTTTTTGGTCGAAATAAAGCTGCATTTCATTTAAGTAGGAGAACCAAAAAGGCCCATTAAATGGGCTTAAGTATACAAAAGGTCTAAAAGAGTTTGAGGAGGCGAAATAACCCAATTTGAAGATAGGGAATTGCATCCGTGGGCTTTAGCGGCCCAATCCGCAATAAAATTTGGACGGGCAACTTCACACGTCTATTTTAAACAATCAAATAGGTGGAAAACAATTCATACTTTGTCAATCAAAACAAAGAAGACTAATTAATCAGGATGGAGCTCAACTAGATACAGAAAGTCAAAAGCAACCTATCAAAATGACAGGCTAACAGGATTCAACTCCACTAGTTGAACTTTTCAGAACTACAATATGGACATAACAGCTTATCTGTGGTCACCATTTGATCTTATTTCCCTTTTCAACCAAGAAAAAAAAACAGGGAAGTCCATAAACAGCGAGCCTAGTTACCGTTCTTGCCTTTTGCAGAGAAGAATCTGCTGAATCCTCCCCTCGTTTGCTTCTCCGGCGTTGGAGAAGAGGAAGACGAGGAACCTGATGAGGTGGCTCTGTGTTTCGGATGCTTGGAATCGACAGGAGATCTCAGAATGTTTTCTTCCACGTCAGATGGTGTACGTGGGGAATCACACAGGGCCAGTACAGATTCAGAACTCTGTCTGTTCAAATTATATGAAGTGACACTGTCCAGCTCAGCATGATCCACGCTTTGCAAGTGCGTGCTAGTACTTGTTGGTTCATCCTTAACAGTTCCTTCAGCTTCTTGACTGATTTCATCTGTTGGCACACTCGAGAGGTCTGTTTGGGGACATAAAGCTTGCAACTGTTTGCCGAGAAGAAATATGGTTTCTTGGCACTCTGCTAGCTTCTCTGCTGCCGCTGATATTTCTTTCTCCTATGAGAATGAAAAAAAGTTTTAAATTCCGCACTCAACAATCATGAACAGCATGTCATTAAGAGAATCAGGGGACCAGTAATTCAGATTTAATTTATTAGCTACTTATTCTTATGCAGGCATGTCAGATATAACCACACCCAATCAGATCTAAAACCTAAAAGAATAAAACAATATGAATTTTGTTAAAAATTTCCCAGGCACTCGTTAAACAATCGAATATGGAAATATTGCAGTTTTCAATACATTGATTGTTTTCAACATTCTGTGTTCAGTTTTTGCTAAAAAGTTCACCCGACCTTAAGAACTTGCCCTCCATCTCTTTTATTTGTCTGCCTTTATACACCCATGGTAATGGTCATTATGCATAACATGGAGGGACCTTCCAAAAGAATCAAAATTTGAAGCCACATAGATATTCTAAATCCCAATTAGTGCACTTCAACCACATGGAAAAAGATGAGGCAGTTCTATCCTTATGAGTAAACCCCATCTTATTCTCTTCAAATGTGGAAACATACAACAAGGTCAAGGAGCAATGGCAAAATAAACACAGAATAAGATGAAACACATATTTTTGAATAATAAGCTGGGTATAAATCTTAGGAAAAACTGGTGGGAGAAAAACCTTCTCCAGTTCAATGACAATTAAACCTGCAAAAGTTACTGTTCAGGCTCTTAAAGTTGAGTGCAAACCATTTGTTCTGATGATTTAAGCTATTAGAGAACGGCAGAAAATATATTCCACATATTAACACAGCCTCAGGAGAAGGCTGCCAACTATGATGAAGGTCTTTGACCTTGAACTGTGCTGTCTGTATAATACAGGAAAAACCCCATAAATGCGTGAAAAGGGGAGTATGAACATTTTAACTCGGGACTACTAGCTTTGGTACCATCTTAAAGCTTAAGCTACCAGAGAACAATATGGAATATATTTGAATTCTTAGTACAGGGACCACATGATTTGGGGGTATACAATTGAATTGATTGAAAGAAGCCTCACCTGTTTGGTCTTACTGTCAGCACCGCTCTCGATTAAGCAACTTTCAGCCCTACAATAAGAGGAAAAACACAATTTACCATTAAACATGATCATAGTGAGGTGTATGAATTCCCAGTCACTGCTATCAAACATTTAGAGCCTATTTGGGGGACCCTGGCCCCTTAGCTTTGGAGAAAACTATAGCTTTTAATCACTCACAGCAGAACTAAAAGTTGTTGAAGAGAAAACAATGATCTTCAGCAAAAACTAAAACAAAGAGCCAGTAGATTATTCAATAATAGACCTAATAGGGCAGGCAGGGCCACTGTCCCTTGGTCACTCCACAATGTAATTTTCATCATAATTTATGATAAACCAATGATGTAATTTCTTTACTTTGCCATAAGATTTAAAAAATACTTTATCCGCCACTCCAACCCGCTTCCATTCCAATTAAAATTTTAGATCAGCTGTTTCATCAATACTCTGAAGTTTCCAAACTCAAACGAGCATAAAAGTGAAGGAAAAATGGGGCAAAAGAAGCATGCAGTCACATTAATGCTGGAACGAGCCAGCAGTGATACTAGCAAAGCAAGAAGCTTAAAGGAAATCTATCGGAGGAGAGTCTAAGTAAAAGTGCTAACCTCTGCAACTGCACTTGAAGATCTTTACATCTGACCAAAGCATCCTGTCGACTCCTTTTTTCTTCCTGAAGCTCGGTATTCAAACTCTCTGTTTTTGCTCTCAGAATGTTTACCTCAGTTTCTAGTCCTTGTGCTCGTATTTCTAGTGACCTGTATGACTCTGCCATACATTTTAGCTGTGTTTCTGCTAAGCTATTTGACTTTTGAGCGGAAGCCAACTGTGATTTAACTTCTGCAAGCAGCTCCTCAGTTTCCTGAAGCTGAGTCTTTATTGTCTCCAAATTTTGATTATATCTGGCTAGATCTGATGCCATATTTTCTTTCTCTAATTTCAAGTTCTCGTACTCTTCCAATGAGACCTTGCGTTGCATTGCATTAGCATCATATCCTGAAGCTAAATTGCCACAATCAGGGACTTCAGGGTTAGAGGATGTATCAGATGCATTACCACATCTATTCTGATAATTCTCTCCTGAAGAATCAGGCTGAACTGCCTTATTCTCGGGTAGAGCGACCTTGTCTATGCAATCAGGGCTGTTCATTGCTGATCCAAGATCCTTGTAGCCAAGGATGTTGAAATTGAGCTCACTTGCCTTTGTCAATACACTAGAGAGGTCAAGGACAAAACTCGCCAAACTTGTCTCTCCATGTAAAACTTTCTGAAAGGTGACAAGGAACTCTTCAATTTTCTGGCCAAATACATCAGCATCACCAGATATGTCATGGACTGTCAGGTCCTCTTTGCGTAGCAGAAGCACGAACTCATTTATATGAGATATAGCATCAGCCAAATCCTGAGTTATTACTTGAACAGCTTCCACGGCCGGGTCACTGTCTTTGGACAGGTTGGCATCCTTTTCAGCGGTAGTGACAGCTTCTTCAGAACAGGCTTGCGTATAGCATGAGGTATTAGAACTACATTTCTTTAGAGACACACTTTGCTCCTGCAATGTAGCAAATGCATCAAGCATTACTTGTTTAATATCCTTCAAAATTTTGTCCATGTCATTCTCTTTGGATACAGACTCGAGCATTGAGCAAATTCTCGATTGCAACTTCATCAGCGGCATCTGATCCATACAAACATCATTATTTACGGATGGTAATGCATCAGGAGAAATCAGAGTTTGCACGGAATCTGAATCTTCCTGGATCTGCATTGCAATAACGTCATCCACATTCTTTAATGCCCTGTTGTCAGAATTATCAGAACAGGAGACCGCTCCATTTGAATTGTTTGGTAAACTAGCCAGCTTCTCCATTTCCAAGAAGTCATCCATGAGCTCTAAGCGACTTGTATCATCAACTTTTTTTGGTTCTGGTTTCCTATCTTTCTTAAATTGGGAAAGCTCAGAAACAGACGTTGTTGCCCATGAGTCAGTACAACTCCTCCCATCATCATTTCCATCTTCTGACATCGACGTCAAGCTAGGTGGATTGCTTGCATTATGACTTAAGGAACCTCCAGCAGGGACCACAACAGCAGATTTTGGTGAACTTCTTTCTTGACTGGTAATTTGGAGTTGCGCTTCTAGGATCTGAAGCTTGCTGGTGATCTTAGCACACATGTTCCTTGAAGTCTGCAATTCGGTATTACGGGCAGCCAAAGCTTCTTTTAGCATCTTCATCTCCTCTTCCATAGCCAATAAACGTTCTGTGAGGAATTCGTTCTCTTTGTGAAACTTTTGCACATTGTCAAGAGAAAATTCCAATTCATGGGAATAATGAGGAGGAGGAGGCTTGACAGGAGATCTCTTCAGCTGCGATTCTCCATAATCTCGTCCTAAGCTCTCAACCTCTAACTTCATTTGTGCAAGTGCTGCCGGACCAGGCAATCTCTTGCGCACTAAGCCACGTAGCCTATGGCACTCTGCCTCTAGCTTAGTTATCTTTTTAACACCCTCCATATGCTGCTTGTTAGCTGCTTCTGCAGACCTCATACTCAGGTTCTTCTCTTCATTGCGGATTTCAAGCTCTTTCGAGACTACATGAACTTCATATTTAAGTGTACCTATTTCCCTCTTGTATGACTCAATACTACTCTTCAACATCTCTATATCAGCCTCTGCCTGTGATTTCTCTTCACTCGTCTTAATGAGCATGTTAGAGCGCTCTTGCAACGACCTAGAAATTGCTGCATTCTCAGCAGCAGATTTGAGCAATTCCTGATCCAGATTCATTATCTTCACTTCAAGGTCATGCTTAATGTTTTCCCATTGCTTTGTTTTGGTGAGGACAACTTCCTGCAAATTCCTTTCATGATCTTCCTTAAGATTTCTAATTTGCCTCATGCACTCCTTCAGAGCTCCATCTAGATGTGATGCCCGGTCTTCGGCAGTGAGTTTTGATAGTGTGACAGACTCCAAATTACTTTTCAATGCAAGGGCTTCTGCCTCAGCCTTTTCCCACCCTGTCCAACAGATTTAAAAGTTAGAACATGAACAGCCAACCCCCATGGATATCCCTATGTAAGCGCCATCAATATGACATCATTTTTCATCTCTAATGACACAATCAAAAGCAATACCTGAGACAGCATCTTCAGCAACTTTAGCATGCTGTTTTGCCACGATGTCCTTGGCTGTTATCTCTGAAGTAGCAGTGGAGAGCTGTTCGTCTAAATCCTTAATATGGTCATCTAATTCCTTAATATGGTGCTCTAATGTCTGTACTTGTTCCTCATAAAATTTCACTTGATCTTCTAAACCAGTTAGATGTGTATATGACTCAACAGAGATTTGAACATAATTTGGTTTTTTGTAGGTCTCCTGTTGTCAAAAACAAAACAGCATAAGATTTAGATGAAAACAACAAAAAACAAGAAAATGGTTTGTTAAACTACACAGAAGAGAGCGAGGTAGCTTCACCCAGTCAATCATACAAGAAGGTGGAGCACTTGAACTTTAAAATAAAGGATCAGCAAGGCAAAGAGAAGGATGAAGGACATTAAACATGTGGAGCAGATGTTCATCAATGAGCTTCTAAACCCATTTTCCAGTATATGGTATTCTATAATGATGAGTGGGCATAAAAGTTAATGGCTTTTTAATTGTATACTTTGACAATGTACTTATGTTGGAGAGATATCATCTTAGACCACAAGCCCTTGAATTGAATCATAACCTTAGTAGAAAGACCCTATATCAGTCAAAATGCTGGTAAACAGTAAGGAATTCAAGTCAGCAAAATGACTGATAGATTTGTCCATGTTTCCATTCAATAAGCAAGCATGTCTTATATTCATGTTAAGTACCCTAAAAAAAAAATTAACAGAAATTATCCAGATTGACCAGCAGCCATATAACTCTGAAGTTTCAGCAGTAACATGAATATTTAACTTTAGAGTGGCTGTTAAAGTCCCCATTTAGCAGCGAGGATCCTTTGGTGACTACTGGAACAATTGGAAAGCTGCTTTTGTTTTAAACACATGGGATAAATGCACCATATTCAAGACAACATGTGAGCAGTGCCTGCAGTGCAACGCAGGATACTGAATAATAATTGGCGCTATGAATACTTGGGAGGCTGAACAGAAAACGGATGCTAACAAGATCTCAGTTCTGGGGGGACAACGCCAACAGCATTAGAACTAGTGCATTTTTATTTCTCAAACAAGATCTTCGTGTCTTAACCAACCTGATCACTCTGGGACTTAGGCGGTGGTAGTGAAGCACCAGCAGAATCTAATATAGCTGTCGCCTTTTCAACCGCTGCCTTCTCAGCAGCTGCCTTATCTGATGACTTTCTCTTCCAGGGCCAGCTTCGGCGTTCCATTTGTGACACAGAAAGTTGCACTCTAGAAGTTGAAATAGTATAAAGTAAGAAACATATCACTAGAGAGAGAGGAGAGATATAGAGCTTTGTAACAGATTAGTGAAAGCTAAATCAAGCATCACCCAGTATTAAGATCTAGAATGCCTTGCAACTCCTCAAGTACACAACAACAAACTCAAAAGCACAAACAAGAGATCTAGCCTAGTTTGAGTCCTCACATTTCAGTTGTCAAAGTAAATCATTTGAAAAGAGCACATCGACACTTTAAAATTAGCTGCCAGAAAACATGTAATTCACCATGGTAGATGCCCAGTTACATTATCAACATTTCAAGTTAACAGCTCAAAAAAGTCCAACCAGCGCCGTGAAACACCGCATTCCGTACAAGGGCACTTCCCAGATTACTATGGAATTTTCCAACAGGCTACAAGTTAGTTGGAGCAAATTGCAGAATCTTGAGAGATCTATCGCAGACATTAGAGACAGAATTTCCTAAAATAAAGAGAAACATTAACGGATGAGACATGGGTTTTTCGACCCAAAAGAAAAAACATGGATTTCTTTCCTTTTTTCTCTCCAGAAGCATATGTTCAAGAGGATGAAAATACAAACACCCTTTTACCTCGTGAACTAATTCGGAAATGGTCACAGCCTCATAGGACCGTGATTCAGACGGTAATCAAATCGACCAAAATCCGAGATATTACACAGCATGGAAAGTCTCGAGCAGCAGCACTAGCAGACTGACAAGAAAGCGCGAACTCCGCAATCCAAAGAAGAATTTGCCAAATCAAACATTGTGGACCGAATCAAGGAGATTATGAAACAATAACAGACCTCAAATGCCAAAGAAAACAATTGAGTACCCAAAAAAGAAAAACCAAGAAGCGCCGACAGAAATGGTACGAGAAACCGTCATTCACATAGAGCAAAAGGGCAAAGAACCTCTCCGACATACAGAAAGGACACGCAAAAAAAAGAAGCTGCCTCCAAACAACACGAACCACCCGAGAATGAACACGAGAGACGACACCCGGTTCCGGTTCTCACTCCATTGTCAGCTAACGAGCTCAAACAGATTCGCAGCAATGCCGATGCAGGAATTGCCTGGACTTGACAAAAGTTCCTGGTAAAATCGGACTCACCCGGAGCAAATGCAGCTGCGAAGAAGCTGAGCGAAGCCGACCCAATGTGAATGCAGCTCGCAACAAAGATCTAAGCACACACACACAGACGGCTTCTCCTTCCTCTCTTGTTAGATTGAATCAAGTCCTCACAGACTGACAGACAGACAGACAGACAGACAGAAAAGAGAGAAGGGCAGTTATGGCGGTGGAGGAGGAGGAGGTGGGGTGGTGGTGGTGGTGGTGGTGGTGGTGGTGGTGAAAGTGGTGGGTGAAATGAGATATTCAGGCTTAGGTGTCACTTGAAAGAGAAGACGTTGGAAAAGCTCCAAAATAACATTACCTTTTCTTTTTTCCTTTTTTTTTTAAATTAATCAATTTGCACTTGTTTATTTATTGTTTTGCGGGAAGAGACAAAGACAATATAGAAGTTGGGGAATAATGTGATTCTCTAAGGTGTGTTTTTTTTTTCTTTTTTCATCATTGAGTTTTGTACCCAAACTCAACTTCCATATAATCTCGGTACATGTGTCCGTTTTCACTAACAGTTGAAGCCGGCCAAAGAAATTTGATCCCAATAAGTTTCGTAATCCAAGTAAATTTCCCAGTAGTTTGAGTCGGATTTCTAAATAGGGTTTCCTTATGTTGAACCCCGATATTATAAAAGAAAGAAGGGGTGCTGTTTTTGCCAATCAGCGATTAATTCTGCTTGTAATTTGCATCGGAAGACATTGCAAGTGCTTTTGAAGCTGATAAGTTTAATGGCAAGATTTGTGTATTTCTTTGTAAGATCGAGAGATCATTTAGCAATAAATCGTAAGGGCTAAATACCGTGTGAGTTTCAGGGTGTATTTAAAGGCCGGAAAACATAGAGAATGTCCGAGCGACTCGAGTGTGATCGCAATATCTACTGTATGGCTTGATTTACAGTGGAATCAACTCCTCTCCTCGTGAATTAAATCATATCCATCGAACCACGCAAATTCGGTGCCTGTTTTATTTCCTTATTCCATTCGGTATCATATATTTAATAGCTTGTTTCAGCATCACTAAGAGATATGCAGGGCTTGTCAAGAGATGTAATCACACCAACTTTTTTGCAAATGGAGAGAAGAGATCGAGATGGTGACTCCGAGCTCCAATTTTTTTATGGAAAATTTTCTTCTTATTCTTGCTTCTCAAGCAAGCGGCGGTAATTTTGTAAGGTGCTTGGGTGTCAGTCACAGAACAAAGACATTATAAAACATAATGAACATATTTATAAGGTGACAAATGGGTGGGGGGGGGGCGGGGAGGTGAAATGACGGGTTTGCCCCGGGATGTGGGTGGCGTGGGGGAGGGAGCGGGCGATGATTGGCTGGCGATGTCGAGAGGGGAATCCCGCACGCGTGTGGCGGAAGCAAAGAGAGGGAGCTGAGCTGGATCCGATATTTTGGGTGTCAGCTGCTCGCGCGTGCGACCACGACCTTTTGGACCACCGTCGCTATTGGCTGCCCCCAAACTCCCCAGCTCACCACGCACGTGTTGCGCGCGTGTTGCGGCTGCACCGTAGATCTCGTGCATCCCTCCCCCGCCCCCGCCCCCGCCATCTCGGCCGTTCGTCGACCACCGGGCTGGTATGACACAGTCATTGGTAGACCTGTCAAAATGGGTCATAAACCCATTTTTTAACCCATATATTAGTAAATGGGTTATAAATGAGTTAATTATATTTAGTAAATGGGTCATAAATGAGTAGAAGTCTTATATTAGTGTTAAATGGATCGTAATGAGTTTACAACTGATTTAAACTCAACGCATCTCTCTCGCCCTCACTCATTTTTGCACTCACTCACTCCACACTCTCATTTCAGCTTGGGTATGAATTTTTCTATATTTAATTAAATATGAAAATATTTTAGCAATATGGGTCTAATCGGATATGGGTTGGGTATGGGTCGGGTCGGGTATGGGTCAAGAAAATTGCATTACGCATAAATGGGTCATAAACGGGTTAATGGGTCAATTTGGATCGGACCATTTACGACCCGACCCAAACCCGATCCGACCCACCCATTTGACAGGTCTAGTCATTGGTTTTGGACACACCAAATTGAGGACCCGTAATCAGGTCAAAACGAGTTCACAAACGAGGTCAAATCAAACTAAATGACATTTCGAAGTCGAACCGGATCGAACTGGATTGAATGAATTAGTTCGGTTTGGTTCAGTTCCATTCCCGCCCTAAAACGCATTGATTTACGGCGTGAGTATTATTTTACGGGTCATTAGTTTATTCAATTGATTAGTTGTGTATTAGCGTAAAAGTACACAAATCTATTGGATGAAGAATCAATTATACAACTGGAACGGTGAAAATGAGAAGGAGAGAGATGGTGATAGGAATCGCACGCCGATTCCAAAAAAAATAACACAAGCAAAAAAATCTCTCTTTGTTTGGAAATTAGTAAATAATATACTAAAACTAATCACGCTGAGATATTGTTGGTTCTTCGATAATAAAAAGGTATCATAAGTTTGAAAATTAATGTTTTGAAAATCGAATATCCCCTTATTATATATATTTAATAAGACCTGGAAGACGCTCGTTAACAATATCATATAAGTGCTGTGAAAGATTATAGCAATTTATCAGATCACTTAGAAGCAATGGTTTTTGAAAAGAAAAAGGTACAAGAGGTCCCTGAACTTTTGCCATATGCTCAATTGGATCCCTAAACTTGTTTTGTTGCAATTGGATCCCTAGGTTATATGCTTTTTGTTTGAGTTAGTCGTTTTGTTAAATATGTAAACAGAGCACTGACGTGGAATGTCACGAAGACACCACATAAGCACTGACTTGACTTAATTAGGATGACATGGAATTATTTTTTGATTTAGCTCTAACGTGGCTAAGGAACAAATAAAAAATTCAAAATTTCAAAAAACCATCACCAATATTCATATACATAGAAGAAGTGACAATTGGCTAGCTAGCTGGGCGAGCAACGGCGGATGCGATTCCTAAGTTGGTGAGAGGCACAGTGAGGGCCGTCAAGTGTTTATCGGCCTCTGATAACTACCACACAACCTATGTCGCCTTCCAATTAGACCTGTCAAAATGGGTCATAAACCCATTTTTTAACCCACATATTAGTAAATGGGTCATAAATGGGTTAGTTATATTTAGTAAATGGGTCATAAATGGATAGAAGTCTTATATTAGTGTTAAATGGGTCGTAAATGGGTTGTAATGAGTTTACAACTGATTTAAACTCAATGCATCTCTCTCGCCCTCACTCATTTTTGCACTCACTCACTCTGCACTCCCATTTCAGCTTGGGTATGAATTTTTCTATATTTAATTAAATATGAAAGTGTTTTAGCAATATGGGTCTGATCGGATATGGGTCGGGTCGGGTATGGGTCAAGAAAATTGCATTACGCATAAACGGGTTAATGGGTCAATTTGGGTCGGACCATTTATGACCCAACCCAAACTTGACCCAACCCAAACTTGACCCGACTCACCTATTTGACAGGTCTACTTCCAATCGAGCACATGTGTAGAAAAAGAGAGGGCGAGACATAGAAAGAGAATAAATGACAATCACCACCTAAATTGACGTAGCTAGGGTTACACAGCCCCAACCAAAATAACTTGGACTGGGGTAAAGTGAACCTCGGTGACACATCGCCTCCCCCACAGTTCGTCGCCACCTTGATCCCTACACATCTTTCCCCGGTTCACGAGCAAGGCTTATATTTATTTTCTACTTTAATTTTTTTTTATAAGTCAAGATGCCACATTGGCATTTAGCAATATTTAAGTGCCACGACGATATTTTAGTCTCTTTTTTAACGGAAGAATCAATTTGAATGAACATATATATATATAGTTCAGAGATTTAATTAAAAATTCTGGTAATTAATTAAATATTTTTCAGAAATTTTCAATATGTTTATTCCACGGCAGGCCACTGGGGAGGAACAGCAACCTACAGTTTCCAGTTTAGAGACTGTTTGAAAATATAGGGACACGTCCATCCTGATCCTATGCTCCTAGTTTGAGTAGGCTGCAATACGCTAGTCCTAAATCTATCCCATGATCCTAGCCCTAGTCCTAGTCCTTGTCCTAGTCCTACAGGCAAAGTCAATATCCTCGAAAACGGCTCATCTGATCCCACCAATTCTATTTGATATTTGCTATTTTACTTGAATTCTGCTCATTTTGGTTGGATAATTACGTAATTTCAAAATTTATGTTGTAGCTTTCTTTGAAGGCAAATTCTTGCAAAGAGAAAAGGGTGCTTATCGGAAGAAAATATCAGCAAATGTTGCAATTTCATCCCTGTATCATTGAAAATATGTAATTTGTATCTTCGACAAAACACCTAATTCATAGAGACCATATTACCCTCAACCTACTCCGTTCTTTTTCTTTTATATGCACCCTCACTCTCTCTCCCGCTCGTTGCTCTCTCGCCCATCTGCTCCCTCTCTCCGGCCAATGCCACCACTCCTATTTACGCCACCGCCTCTTTGAAAACAACAACACCTCCTCCAACTCGCCATTGCAAGTCATCGCCCCTCTCCCAACCTTGCCCCTCTAGTTCCATTCAGAGTTTCTCGCTCTCAGTCCTCTATATCTCCGGGTCTCTCTTAGCCATGATGCTGACATCGCATTAGCATGACCGACATCAAGCTCAAGCTCGAGTATGATCGGGGTTGCATTAGAGTTAATCAGATATGTGCGTTCGAGCCCTCCGGATCTAGACCTTGTGGTCGACGCCGCAGCGAAGCTCGAGCACCTCAATAGATTTGTTGAACGCAATAGATTTTTTACCTTTTGACAATTTTTGTTATTTTGTAGTTCACCTTCACATGCCACAAGAGTCCCTATCAATAAGGTTTGCTGTGGTTGTTGAGATGCTTGTAGCCAGCTCCTGATATTGGCCAAGCCTTTGGGTTTTACTTTTGGAGACTTGGCAATTTCTTTGCCTTTGTGTCTTCTGGTGGGGAGGCATTTTCCCCGTAAGAATTCTTGTGTGAGAAAATTTGGTAAGGAATTGGAGGTACCATTTATAAATTCAATATCAAAATCAAAAACAAATAATATGGCTTGCCATATGGTGAAAATCTGTTTTGAAGTAACATTTTGAACATCCTTTTGTAAAACGTCTTTTGCTAATTTACAATCAATTAGCAATAAAAATTTTTGGTTCAAAAGATCTCCTTGAAACTTGGATATAGATAAAACAATGGCAGGAATTTCCTTTTTTATAGTGAAGTAATTCTTTTGAC